GACAGAGAGAATGAGAGACAGAGAGCATGAGAGGGAGGAGGGTCAGAGGGAGAAGCAGACTCCCTGCCGAGCAGGGAGCCCGATGCGGGACTCGATCCCGGGACTCCAGGATCATGACCTGAGCCGAAGGCAGTTGCTTAACCAACTGAGCCACCCAGGCGCCCCATAAATCTTTTTTTAAAAAGAAAAATGGAATCTGAGACTCATGTAGCATTGCCAGACATATACCTAGCCTTCCCAATACCTGTTCTAGTTCTGGCTTGCTTGTTTCTTGAGGTGGTCAGTCATGATTTTGGAACAGTAGTGAAGGGAGGGGGGATGCCAATGAGAGGGAGTGGCTGAAAGATTCAGGGATAGGTTTTTGCAAAGATTTGTGACACAAACACCTGGAAATTAATACCATTGCAAGTTTAACCGCCTTATTTAGAACGTTTCAGAAACAAAAGGAGCATCCTTCTAGATCTTTGAAAAATGTGTATTTGAATGGAATTCATCAGTGTTGAAACCAGAAGCATAGCTGGTTGTGTTTTTATACTTTGTGGATATTTACCCTTTCCATCCCACCAGGGTTGTTTAGAAGGGTTATTTTCTTGAGATCCTCAGTTGGAAGGAAAATGCAAAGTTGGGAAATGTAACAGCCTCTACAGGCCCTGCACTAAAAGGACAGTGTGGGGCACTCGGGTGGCTCAGTCGGTTAAGTGTCCGACTCTTGATTTCAGCTCAGGTCATGACCTCGGGGTTGTGGGATCGAGCCCCACCCACGCTGGGCTCTGGGCTCAGTGGGGAGTCTGCTTTCCTTCTCCCTGTGCTTCTCCCCTGCATGCTCTCACTCAAATAAATAAAATCTTTAAAGAAAAATAAAAAAATAAAAGTGCAGTATGGATAGCAGAAGGGAATTAGTGCATGTGAGATAAGACTGACCCAAGGAGGAAGTGGAGAAGGAAACTTCCATCCCATGCCCAGCCCACAAATGATTTCTCTTTTGAGCTTACTCATGTTCCTACTTCAGAAGTGTTTGATCCACCCAGAGTTAGCACCCTAAACTTAGCTGACTCTTTCCCACTTTGGTGTTATTAATGGGTCACTGCCAACTCACCTTTATACCAAAGTTGACTACAGTTATTCCTCAATATACATTACAGGTACATCCCTGTATGGCCTTTTCCAGAAGCACTGCAGCTTACACTTAGGCAGAATTTAATTTAAAATAACCACTTTGCTTTTCCTTGTTTCCATATGTAATGTTTGACTAATTGGAA